TATATATATATATATATTGATAATATATATATATATAATATGCAAATATATAAACAAATAAATATAAATATGAAGAGATGAAAATTTAAACATGATATACCAACCCCAAAAGAGAGTAATAAAAACTCCATTGCCCCACCTCCATTAATGCCCTCAAACCATCTCTACACCCTCCGGTTTTTGTGCTCAGAATTCAACTTATTAGCTATTTAATGGGAAATAATTCATGCTCTTCTTTTCTCCAACCCCACAAAATGATAAAAATTTGAATTAATTCTTGATCATAATTAAATCAAAAAATCTGAATTAATTTATTGATCATAATTAATTTCCTAAACTTGATAATTTACTAAACAAGATAATCTACTAAACAAGATAATTTATTGGACATGATAAAATATATAAAAAAAAGGGAAAAATTACCTCAATATTCAGAAAAGAAAAAAGACGGAGATGTTGCGGGAAGGAGCCGAGCAGTAGCGATATTTCTCCTCACGAAATCTCGTCTCGTGAATTGAACAAGGTTCCCTTTATTTGTGAATTATTGATACAAGCCTGAGAAAATAAGAATAAACCCTTCCCGTAAGTAAGAAATAAACCCTTTCTTAAGGTATATTGTTGGTAGTGTAATATATTGTTGTGTTGGATTTAATATAATTGAGTATGTGGGCTTAATTAATTAAGTGAATTGGTCTATGTGGGCTAAACTAATTAAGTTAGGTGGGCCAAAATACAAAAAGAACATAAAATATACACAATATATATAGAGCCCAGATAATCTTACCTGGGCTACAGCCCGGATGCCTTAAGCTGTTCCTCCGCCCCCGGCTTGGCCAATATCGTTCGTGAATATTATGTTAAGCTGATTTCTTACAATGGATTCCAGTTCCGGACATGAAGATTCATAGAAATTCCAAGAAAGTCCACTGGCTATTGGTATATCAGTCGACTGAGCTTTTGCAAGGTGAAAATATGAGCAGAAAATAAGGTAATTAGACAGCAACATTGTTAAAGTTGGGACTACAGAAAAAGCCATGTCTGAGAGGAAAGTATGTATGGTTGTGGGTTTCTTTTTAATTACTTGGACAAAAAAATATCTACCATGCAAAGCTTCTAATAAACGACTACGTGCACAGCCGGCCCGAGATTAGTAGATAATTATAATATAGTGATTGCTTTTTGCCGGCCCAAAAACATGTTCCTTAAAATGTGTCCAATCTCATGCATACATTTGTCCGACTCGAAGAGTACACATGCATATATTTGCTAACATTTCGAAAAATATATTAAAATTATTTCATATGAATCCATCATATCCAATGAAAAAATATCCAACAATCACAGAAAACGTAAAAAGAAAGTTTTGGTTCACTATAAAAGCGGCAAACTTGGTATATCATGTGTTTCGGTTGTATGACATCTCATTAAATACAATGTAAAACAAAACTAAAGTGTCCGTGCCTGTTACAGAGAAAGCAGTCTCGTCTGTTACAGAGAAAGCAGTCTCGTTCAAGTTATCAGATGCGATTTATCCATTCTGAGTGAAATAATTTCCTGAATTAATTTCCCTTCATTTGTCCTAGACAAATGAATTTCAGGAAAACAAATTAACATTGCCAAAATATGATAGAATTTACAAAGCATGATTACACTATAGCAACCATTTTCCCATCATAAATTTTCTTTAAGATATAATAAATACAACATAAGGTTAATTGCAAGCAGTTTTTATAATAAACTAAAATAAAAAGGATATTAAGCCACGAACATCATATTAAATTAGACCCAAAAGTTTAAAACCAAATCAAACCAAACCAGGAAAAAAATAAAGGTAAGAAAAAATAAAGGTAAGAGAAACTGGAAAATAATAATCAAAGCTAGGAAAAGTAAAATCCTTACAACTTCTTTCTCTTTGTTAAAGGGACCGAGCATTGACGAAATAGAAGATATCATAGATACCATTAACGTACACAAGAAACTAATCAACCAGATGAACGACATGACTTGATTTCTTAGCTTTGTTTCTCTTTCCTTGCTATAGAGAATAGTGTGTTAGTAAAAAAAAAAAAAAGCAAAACCCTTGAAACAATAAAGCGAAGAGACCAAACACCAAAAAACATATCACCGTATGGAAAATTTAATGAAGAGAGCGGGTAAGTCGTACTTGTCAATCAGAAGAAAGAGAACGGCACGCTTGATTTATTGTAGCAAATGTGATATCATCCGGTTTGCACCCACACCCCTCCATTGCCTCTAATAACTCCATCATCCTCTCTACATCACCAAATTTCCCGAATGCATTAATAGCACAGTTGAAAAAAGGCGTATCGAGCACGACATCCGAATTCTCCACTTGCCTCACAATCGAGTCAACTTTCCCAAACAGCCCGACTTTACCATATGCACTCACAAGAGAACTGTATGTGATCGAATTGGGCTTCAAACCCCAATGTTTCATATTCAGAAAAATCTCGTCCATCTTTTCAATATCTCCGCTTTTTCCAAATACCTCGATTATTATATTGTAAGTAACAATGGTAGGTGAAAAAAAACCTCTTCTCCATAAAATCCACAACACATCCCATTTTTTCGTACAAGTCCGAATTCCCGTACGACTTAATCAGAATGTTGTACGTCATTATATCAGGCTTTAATCCCATCTTATTAAACTCTCCAAACCACTTCTCCATTTCATTGATCCTCCCAAACCTACCGTAAGCCCCAACCACCAAGTTATAGGTAAAAATATCCGGGGCGCAATTTTCCTTCTGAGTCATGTCATGCAAAAATTTCTCCATATCCTAGAAACGGTTAGCTTTACCGTATCCATCTATTAGGGTGTTGTACATCACTGTACAACATTCGAGTCCTGAATTTGACATTTCTTCAAGAACTCGCCCAATCATATCAAACCTTTTCAGCTTGGCACAACATTTGATGAGGATGGAGTAAGTGAACGCATCCGGCATGCAATCACGTACGGACTTCATATCATTGACAACACTGAAGGCTTTATCATAAAGCCCGTTTACAGCATAAGCACCCACAAGTGAGGTGTAAACATCGACTGCAGACCTTAGGCCGTCCGAGACCATTGTTTCGAAAAGCAGGCTAGCTTGATGTGTCTGCTTGCACTTACCCAGCATTACCAACAGCTTTGCATATGTCTGGCGTCTCGGCTCGTACCAGTGCTGCCTTCGTAGAAGCTCGAATATCTAGATTTTTCACCAAAAATGGAAAAATTAAAATAGCAGCTTAGCTTTGAGAGCTCGGCCCTGTCTCTAAAAATTAGAACTCAATACAGTGCCAAAAAATTAGAAGAAAAAAAGAAAAACAACAATAATAATATCACATCATAGTCACACGACTCTCACAATCACAATGTTAAAAGAACACCCAGAAATAGTCCCCACATATTTCACACACGCACACAGAGAGAGAAGAAGAAACCTTAAGAGCGGACTCTCAACGGTTATGCTTAATTGCGTCACTTAGAGCTTCCAGAACAGCTTTAGGCCATAGATTGTTGTATTTGGAAGAATTAACCTTCCCCTCAATGGCTTTAATGGCAGACTCTGTTCTCAAAATTCTTGAGAGGTCTTTCTTCGAAATTTTACGAATTTGAAGGTCCTGTTGTTGACGCTTGCTGTCTTCGGGCTGTGATACTTTCTTGGAGTGAGGTTTCGTGGTGGAGCAGGTGATTGCGCGGTGGTTTGCCGGGTTGAGGAGGCGGAGCTCTCTCTCTCTCTCTCTCTCTCATAAGCCAAAATAATTGACTCACCGAGATTGCGGGTCGAACCGCCTCATCTGGATTGCGTGAGTGTTCGGACATCTCAATCACCTTTGTCTTCAAGAACCGGATCGAACTGCAAAGCACCGGGGTGGGCCCCGGCATAGACACTCTGACGCTCAAGTCAAAAAACAGATATTTTATTGTGTATATCGAGTAATCTTAAGAGCTTAAGATTAAAAAATAAACCTGGTCCCTTATTTATAAGGGGTTTAATGACTTACTCCCCAAGATAATGAGTTTCCTTAACCAACAAGAACTCTGATACTCCTCAATAATTGTGTAGATATACACCAACTTTTATGAATATCTTTAACTAATACCGTGTATCACATAAATTAGCTCTAAGCTTCCTTAGACCGGCATATCCGAGCTAACCGCTCAGGCTGGTCCACCGAGTTATTTTTCATGCTACATCATCTAGCCCCCCCACTCTAGACAAGCTTATGAATATGAGACTTGTCTAAGAGTAAAACAATCATGTCTCGCCCAAGTGTATATCATAGGACTACCGCATCGGGGTCCTGGGCTCATCCAGCCCCCACAGTCTACCACGTCGGAGTTCTGCAGCCAACTGCATGAAAATATGGCTCTTGGGCTAACTTTGCACTTTCATTGCCTTTGTGGCCCCCGAGCAACCTGCTCGATGTTCTGCCACATTAAAACATTTGACATTCGCACTATCTGCTCATGTTGTAACAATGACTTTCATATCTACGACCTCACGGGTTGTACGAGCTCGGGCACCGCTACGACGGGCTAATTATCCTTGATCTAGCTACAAGTCAAAGGACCGCTGCTGAGCTCCAAGAACTCGAGCAACGCCACGACAGACTTTCGCCCTAAGTTTGGCTCTGAGGACCCGCTGCCGATCTCATAAACACAACGATACTGGTGAGCTTATAAGCACAATGATTCTGTCGAGCTCATAAACATAATGATACTGTCGGGCAAAACGATACTATCGAGCTTATAACGACTATTCTGCTCTAATGCGGCAGAAAGTTTAACTTCATGTCGGGCTAAGATAGGCTCGGTAATCGTTCGAATTGGACACCGCCGAGCCCCGCGAGCTCGAGCGACGTCTTCAGCAGGCTTTCGTCCTATCTCGACCACCACCAAACTCTGCAAGCTCTAGTGGTGTCCTCGACCACCACCAGGCTTTCGCCCTATCTCGACCAGCACCAAGCTCTGCAAGCTCTAGTGGTGTCCTCGACCACCACCAAGCTCTGCAAGCTCTAGTGGTGTCCTCGACAACCGCTAAGCTCTGCAAGCTCTAGTGATGTCTTCAACAGGCTTTCGCCCTAGGCCAACCCTGCACTTATCTTAGCATGACAAAAATGTATGACGAAAGATATGCAATTAGTATTTCTTTCGCAAGAAATAACCCAACGAAACTTGTCACGATATCTACACTTGATCATTGAAATGAGTAAAGACTAGCTTATGTACCTGGAGTCGAAAATATCACTGTTGCTGACCTTCTTAAGAAAACAACCGGGGTGTTAATCCCTGAAAGATATTTATTTTGGCATTAGTTCGAAGGTTCTAACAAGCACCTGGAACTACAGAAACAGGGAAAATCTTTGTTTATTTGTTTCCTAAATTACGATTATTTTATATTCCATAAATAAGATATTATGGATCTTATTATGGTACTTTGATTTGTAGGAAATCGGATGAGATAATGAAGGGAGAGGCGTGTATGATAAAGAGATCAAGGAGAGAGAGAAGAAGATTCACTTACCAAATTCTAATGCTATAATCAAGGAAAGAAATCAAGGTTGGAGTCCTATGCCTTGTAGAAGACTCCAACCCTAAGGAGATTCTTTTAAATACCCGTATGCAAGCTCTCATTGCTGCTGCTGAGTTTTGAAGATTTATAGAGCAATAATTGAGCTTCGTGTTTTCTGATTTTATTGAGTTGTACACAGTTCAGTCTGAGAGTTCGAACTAGCTCAATGATTGAAGCTGTTTTATTTTGTTCTTTGTGTTTCATCCAAAACTATTTTACAACTTATACACTTAGGGAGTAAGTGTAGGTTTTTAAAAAGTCCACGGGACGTGGCCGGAGAATTAGTTGATAGGATCTGTGTAGTGTTGGCTAGGCTTGAAGGGAGTTCGAGTCGTTGTAAGTCCAAGCTATGTGTATGTTTGATCTATCAATGAAAGAGCTCTGAGGGGAAGTGGGACGCTTCCCTGAAGAGTTTTAAAATCTTCGGTTTATTGCTTCCGCATTTTTTAGTTCATACCATCGATAAGCGCACTCCGTAGGAATTATACGTTTCAGTTGGTATCAGAGCAGTGTTCCTGTTCTAATTACGGGATAAAGATCTTTGGGACTGTGTATCGGGCACCATGAGTCATGATGGGATGTCTGTTACGCGCCCTCCGTTTCTTGATGGTTCTAACTACTCGTACTGGAAATCCATGATGGTGATCTTCCTTCGAACCCTTGGTAAAGGAACATGGCAGGCGGTGGAAAATGGTTGGACTTTACCACTTCAA